TTTTGGGTTTTAAAAGAAATTTTAAAATTTGAAAGAATGTCGTATTTTGACCATCGAGGATAAACGTATATGAATTATGGGTTTCCAATTTTTGAATTGATTGTTATGTGAAAACAATTGAATTGCATATATGTATTCCTCAATTAATCTATCACATATTTGATTGAAAGATTCAATATGTTTTGAAAGGTGTATTTAGATACGATTGATTCGTCAAACGTAATACAATTTATATTTTATACATATGACAAATCGTGGAAACATTTTTTTTACATGGTTTTGCTTAACTCCTAAGAATGGATATTGATTTTGCCATAGGCTTTTAAGCATTTCTTCATCACTATCGGCAACTCGTTATAATGATATATGTTTTGCAATGTGTTGGTGTAAACATGTTTTGCTATCAGATGGTTAGTTGTCTTTTATGGCCAATATTTTATGTTTTCAAATTTATTTGATCATGGAGCAAAAGGGATGTAGTATGAAATATGTTGAACAATAGCACTATACTTTGTAATGTATATTTACTGCTTATTCATTTATGTGTATGTCATTCTAGAAAAATGTTTATATTGCTCACTTCATATTAGAGTTGGTTTGTATTTTATATTAACATTTTATGTTTTGGTAAATAATGTTTTAATTATTGTCGCCCTTTTTATATATAGCACTCCAAAATCAAGCTTTATACTTGGAGGTACTTGTGATTCTACTTTTGCACAAGGGTTGATTATTGTAAGATAGTTTTACAAAAGGATTTATGTTGTTGTTTGTGTTTAAAAGTGTGCATTCACATCTCACGTACAAAGTCTGGATTTAATTAGCTTCTGTTTATTTTTATATGGGCAGTAAATTGGCTTAATCCTATATCTTAAGAATCTTTCATATTTGTTATTGTTTGGGTTTTAAGACTGAATTGAAAATTCATTGATTTGCCTCAGTCAGTAGTTGAATCGTTATAATTCTTATAATCTTGCTTAGTTATAAGCAAATAAATTATGCATAAATGTTATTGCTTTTGGGTCTTATGTTAAGTTGCTATTAAATCACACTAACTTTTGTTTGGTGATTTAAAGCACTGTACAAGTTCTTTTGAATAGTTACTTTCGTATTTTGTTGTACTAAAACTTAAGTGTTTTGGAATATTGTTGGGCTGTTATTTCTGATTTATTTTGTGATGAAAAGCGCTAAAAACAAATATATTATTTTTTGAGCTTGGATAAGCTCCAATAAAGGAAACCTATTTAGAAAAGGATCGACCCGCTAGAGGAAGAAGAAAACTCACTTGGGTCTGTTACACAAATCCCACTTGTTGTGTAAGCAAAGTGAGGGAGAGTGTGCACTCAATTTTATGTCAAAATTCATCAAATTTTAACAACACGATCCTTGAAATATTTGTAAATTGTTGGTATATTTTTGACTTAGGTTGTTGTCACTCTCGTTGTCTAATACTTCAATGTTAAGTGCTGATTTTTTATGGTAAAATTTGTTGGATTGACAAATGCAATATGATTTCTGGAAACATATGTTGTAAAGTGTTTCATGTTGTTAGAAACACATGTTAAGTGTTTCATGTTGTTGGGCTTTGTTGATAATTTATCATTTTAAATTATTATATGTTATTTACTTGCCCAAAGGGGGTTGTTATATGTAATAATTTGAAAAATTGCATGAAAATATTATTGATGAGAATACATAATTTAAAAGTATTATCTATCCAAAGAGGATAAATTAGTTTTAAATTACATGTGATATTATGGAGAAATGTGTATAATTTAAAAGTTTGTCTGTCCAAAAAGGATGAATTTTTATAATTATATGTAATTCTCCTTGTTAAATCTTCATGAGATGAAAAATAATTATATATTATATACTCTACCCAAATAGGAGTTTATAATATTTAATTATTTTTATTATTGCCCATAACTAATTTATTGCATTATATGTGTCAATCAGTTAATTTTGTTAACCTGATAGAGTCATTTTCAAAATAAAGCATCTCATTCAAACTCAAGCTCTACCCTAGGGTCTATGACTCTATTTGAAAGACATAACAATTGATATTTGGTTATATAATATTTTTTATATTATGCTTATTTTGAGCAATTGAATATCGGTATTTCTTTTGACTATGGATTTGTAAGGTTTTTTTTTTCCGCTAAACAAATCTTGGATCGACATATAGAGAAGTTGGACAAACAATGAATGTTGAGTGTACATTATGGTATGTGATACTGTCTCGCTTGAAAACAACTAGATGAGGGGTATGATTATTTGATTTTTCTAGTCATTATTGGTTTCATTTTTTACGGGAGTCGGCGATCTTAAATTAATTGTCGGAATTTTAATGGTTATTAATAATTGAGGACACGTACTACAAAACATAATAAGATTGTGCTGGTTTTATATTGCATATGTTACTTTCATGTGCTAATCCAATCAATTGCTCTGGTTAATATATCCTTTCGACAGTTAGTTAATTTTTTCCCCCTACTAGTTTGTTTGTTGTAAGTTGGATACATACAAGGTCTATTTCTTTATCTTCTTTAAATCTTTCTGGGGTTCCGACTCGACCCTCACTTCGGAGAGCTTTATATCAGTATCTTTCATTTTTATAATTGGATTGCATATAGAAATAACAATTTCGTAGAAAGATTTAGAGATTCGATAAATCTGTTTGGAATAAGTATATAATATTTAGTTCATTTTGGATAACCGCACCAATTTTGGATATAAATTAGGTATTTAAAATGGGGGCAGATTATATTTACAAACTTTTTTGTTTACAAATTCTTACAAACTATACTATGTAGGACCGGTCCTACATTAATCACACAGTGTACGACCGGTCCAAATTAGTGTAATTGCAAAAAAAGTTTGTAAACGGATCCTGTCCCTTTAAAATGATTCTAAACCAGTGTTTCAAAATTCGACTCGGTCATCGACTCAGTCAAAATACTGAGTCATTGATTCAACCAATGGGTTATTAGTTCAACCAATTTAATTAATTTTATATTAAGTTATATAATAAATATAAGAAAAACATTTTTTTCCTCTTAAATGAGAAAATTTTCTCCTACTAGTGACTTATAGCATAAATGGGTCTCATCTTGAATTTTTTTATTTCTCCACTATTTTGTGGACCCTCTTTATGGTATAAGACTATAAGTCACTAGTATGAGAAAATGTTTTTCCATAAATATATTATAAGGTGTTTTTTGACTAACAATTGAGAATTATCTAGTTGTAAGTGGTAATACTAGTAACTCTCATTCTGGGTTCAATTTTCGATTGCCATCAAGAGGGAAATATTTTGTCTAATATTTAAAGAATCGATTTAAGGGATAAAACAACTTGACTTGCTGAGTTCCATTTGACCCATAAGTCACCGAGACTCGGCCAAGTCAATCGATCGAAACCAATTCAATTTCATGACCGATCTAATTGCCAACTCAAACGGGCGCTCTCACTGGGTTACCAAAATTCAGGTCGACCCATCCGTTCTGATCCGGGTTTTAAAACACTATTCTGTTATTATTGTCGAGTTTAAATATCTAATATCTTTTTAAAAAATAATAATTTGGACATGCGTTCAATTGCTTAAAGGTTAAAGCATCCAAAGCGAAATATACACTATGAATTGAATCGGCCTACTTGAGTTGCCAAAACTAGTTGGGAAACTAAAAGGGCAAAAAAGATTTTAATTATTAAAACTACTTAAAATAAAATAAATAGCAGTATATGCTATCCAGTCCCGTTTTAAATTGCCATTCTAGTTTAGGGGGGGAAAATTATATAAATAAATTATTCTCAAAATTCTCATCAGATAATACTTAATTCTCATAGTAATTTTTTAAAATGATATAGCTTAAGATACAGTGTTTTGAAAATTTGCGGAGTCTTGTTAATTTGTAAGCTTTTAAACTTAACTCTTAAATTGGGGTCGACTGAATTTAATTATCTCTATATCCCGTGTGGACTTTTTTATTTTTTTTTCTGGGTCGGTCAATTAATAATCTAAGCCAGCCAACTGCGTTGGTTTCCTTCTCTTTTTGGGCCTTTCCCTCTTAGCTCTTTTGGCTCGACAGGACGTTTGGTGAAGGAAATTTTTTTTGAATACTAGAGAAATATAATTACTAAGAAAATAGTTAAAAAGTGAATTTGGTAAGAAAATGTAAAAAAAATTGTTTGGTTGACCGAAATATTACCAGAAAAATTTATTTAAATTTGCAAAATCTATGTTCGGAAAAAACTTCGCACCTGTTTTTTTACTTCTCCAGTTATCTCAAAATATCACATCTCAAGTGGTATTCCGTAACAGTAAATTTCATCTAAAAATCAACACAAAAGTCATTTCTTCATCTATTCTATTTGCCTAGTATTTTTAAAAAAATTCTAAACCAAATGTGATATTTTTCAATATTCACTTACATTTTTCCATTAATCCCAAAATAAATCTTCTACCAAACACTACCTAAGTGAGTTCAATTATGGCCTCACTGCGGTTTGTTCGACGTAGTATAAAAAAAATCATTTTATTCATTAGGAAATTTTTCAATTTTTTTCGCGCTGATAAGAATGCTCAAATTTTCAAAATCATAAAAAAAAGCATATAACATTACATATGACCAGTGGAAGAGAAATTATTTTTTTTTCCGAAAATCTCAATTTTCAGAAATATAATTTTTACATTCAGTTTACGATAATATCTAAAAATTAAAAATTTAAAAAAATTCAGTTTTCCAAAAATCTCTAAGAATCCAGCGTACCAAACAGGCCCTTAAGAGGTTGGTGGATCAATTCAGTCACAAGTTCCAGTGTGAAACCATGGGAGTGGTAATTACATAATTTTTTAAACTCAATTAGCCTTAAGTTCCATCTCATTTACTAGATAATAATAACGATGACAAATTAACTCGATAATTCTGTCCCATAACATCTCACATCTAACATTTTCGGGACACCAAAAAAAGAAAAAAAGAAAAAAGGAAAGAGATGCGTGAACAAAAGATGTATCATACTATCCGATTGATTACTGATTATTAGAAAATACATATCAAGATGCTAAAATGAAATCCTGGCATTTACCACTGGGATAAGGCAGGCACACAACTAACTGCACATAATTTTAAAAACGGAACAAAAAACTTTATAAACAGCTGTATATGTATGGAGGATACAAACTAAATTACTGAAAAGAAGCCCAAGCCTGATAGTAAGAATATTAATCTCTCCTCTTCTTCTTCCTCTCATTTCTCTCGGTTGAATTCTTCAACTGTTAAAGAACAATAGAGAAACCTTGTCAATATCAGTTCATATAGAGAAAACAAAAAAGAAAGAAAAACAAGAAACAACTCAAAAAGCTATTTTCCGGTCCAACTCACCATTATAGTGAGAATCCGAACAAAGATTGCAACCAAATCAGTGAACAGGGTCAATGCATGCTTAACATAATCCAGGTCGCCAAAATGAGCCCTCTCAATTATTTCTTGAGTGTCTACTATAATGTAGCCTACAAACACCAACAGCCCAAAGTACAACTGCAAAAGTCTCAAATAAGACCCCTGTTAGATATCTTATAGCATATAAGACAAAATACATTTCATAATACAGATATCGATTTTCTAGATATCCGGCAGTACACTAGCAAGAATAACAGCATTGTCACTTACATCAAACTTAAAGAGCGCTGTTGAACCCCCAAAGATGGAGGAAGCAAAGTGCAACCACATAAGAATGGACAAGCCAGAAGAAAGCAAGCCACCAAGGTAGAGGTACTCCCTACGCCTTGCAACCAAAGCAGCCGCAGAGAAAGAAGCAAACGCTAAAGAAGTTCCCACAAATGCGCTAAAGATAAGCCTGGAAGAATGGAAGTAAAATGTTAAAAAATATCCTACACTCCAAACTAGCCAGAGAAGCCACTATCCAATTGTCAAAAAGCATCGTTAGATATGGATAATAACACTGTTAGACTACAAAGGTAACACACCTGTAAATTACTATGCTAGCATGAATATAATAAAAAGCAGATTAGCCAGACTCAGAAAAAACTTGCTATCCATTGCAAATGAGTTTTGTTACTTCACCTAATTTCAACACCGAAACCTATGCCTTCCTTGTTAGTTTTTTTTTTTAAAAAAAAAAAAAGAGATGGACAGAGAGAAGAACAGAAACACACTTAACAATACTTGCTCTCTCTCTCTCTCTCTCTCTACAATAAGGAAGGTGCAGGGAATTTGGTATAGAAATAAGGTGTAAGAATAACACAACTCAAATTCAATGAAAACAGAGACTCAGAGCCAATATGATCACAAGGCATAGTAATCAAATAAAATTGCTGCCAAATGCAATGGACGCATACCTCGGATCAATTGCAATAGCCAAATCAATCAAAGGTCCAATGGAGGCGCCCTGAAACAGGGCCGAAGCCATCAACAGAGACAACCTCTTTTGCTGCAAATCACAAAACAAAAGAGTGTGAATCACAACCGAATCACAAAAACCACGAAACACAGAGAGGGATAAGAAGATTCATACCTCTTGAAAAGAGGGTGTTGAAAGCAACCAAATCATGCTTCCAAGGGACGCTAACGTAGTGAGAAACCCTCCAATGTTCCATAGCACATGAAGAAAGGCTCCAACAGCCGAAGCAACCACAGCACAACATAATGTAAAATAAACCTGCAATCAATCACAATTCTGAATACATGACCACAGATTCTTCAAAATCAAATTGTTGCAAACCGTAAAGTAACCAAAATCGGCACAATCGAATCGTATCGTATGATATTATTTTAGTCAAATTTCTTAGAAATTATATTAATAAAGGTTTGAGCGTCGGATTAATTACCCGTTTGATGTGATTCTGAACGACCGGAGAAATCTGACGGAAGTTTTTGAGAGTATCGTAACTCCAACGGCTTCTCGAAGACGATTGGGAATCGAAGAACGAAGTGAACGCTTCCATTTTGGTTTCAATTGAACACAAATCGCAACGCAAACGCAATGAATTAACGAGAATGAAAGCCACAGCGCAATTATATAGCGTTTGCGAGGTTTGGTTTGGCTTCGTCGAAAATTCTTGTCTTCTCCAGAAAGTACGACCCGACCCGTGATCCGGCCGCGTTGGCGTTGTTATCTCATGTAAATAACAAAAAAATTATAATGAATAAGTTTGAATTACTGTTACTAAAAATATTTTTTGTTTTAAAAAAAAAATTTATTTGACAAAATCTATTTTGAAAAAAATGGTAACTTTTTTTTCTTTTATAATCAAATTTAAAAAATATGTCTGAGTTATTTTTATTTTTTGTTTTGATTTTTAATTTTTAAAATAAAAAAAATTATAAAAAATTATATTTATAATCTATTTTCATTTATAATTTTTTACAACCGTATTTTAATTGAGATAATTTGATTTAATTTTGAACTCTTAAACTTCTAAGCTAAGCCTGTGACTTTGATTTAAATTCCCAACACTTTTATGTAGAAAAAGAAAATTGCTAAGTATTTATTTAAAAAAAAAAATTGTTAGTTATCCTCCAAATCTTTATTTATGATAATTCCATTTCATAACTTCAAAAAAAGAAAAACTAGAAATTTCTATATTCATTTTTTTTTTAAAAATAAAATGGGTCTAATGTCGAGTTGCTTATCGTTGACGATTAATTGAGCGGACATCCACGTAACTTAGCCAATAACAATTTGACAAGTCAGCTCCAAAATGCTAAATATTTCGTACCATGTTCAAAAAGTCAAAATCTTAGGAAGGTGTATAAAGAGTTAAACAAAATGAATAGAAGATTTTTTCAAAAAAAGAAAAAGAAAAAGAAAAACAGAATAAAATGTTTTATTGAATAATAAATCTAGGATACGTTTCTCTAAATTTTGAAAAAAAGTATTTGGAATATATTTTTTAAAATAAATTTTTTAACTTCCAAAATATATTTAAATTACTTTTTTCGAAATTTTTTACTTTTTAAAAAAATAAATAATAAATTATAAAAAAATTTGAAATATATTTTGAATTAAAAAGTATTTATTTCTTTAAAAAAACCATTGATGCCTTAATTTTTTTATTATCCAACTCATAGTGATAGTAGTTACTAGTGAGGTAATAAGGGGGAAGCAGAGTAAATTAATTAAATGGATGAGGAAACTCGAAAATGGTTAATAAATATAAAGAAAAATGCAAAAAGAAAAAGAAAATCCCATTCAACTGAAGTAGACCTTTACAGTGAATAACACGAAAGGGTCTGCATGCAAAGGTTCTGAATTGTATGAAATCATTCTGTAGGTGGAGAAGACAATGAAAGTTTCAAAAGCAAGCCAACCAAGAATCCAATTATACCCACAAACATGACAAAGTTGAAGGAAAAGCCAGAATCGCTTCTACGATTTCTTCTCCTTTTCAGCATGTCCTGCACAACAAGAAAATAGATGGACTGTGATTAATGATATTTTTACAATAGCTCTCCTCAACTATATCGAACAAACAAACTCCTGCACAGCTAAAAAAAGTTCTGAATTCTGATGTTTAAGGGTTAACTTTCCACTAATTACTTTTAGCTCTTATTAACCTCATGACCAATTTTAGCAGTACGGGGTATGTTTTACAATTGACTTTGTATATGCAATCATTTTAAGCTAATATGTCTCCTTAATTAAGAACCAGTGAAGTAACTTCATATATAACATTTGCTATAGAATAAAAATACTGGCATAATAAACATTTTATCTGGATACAGGCCGAAATGATTAACAAAATTCAGTTTTAAAAAGAAATGTCTTATTCTCCATAATAGTCAAGTAAACACTAACAGGATTATAAATCACATTGATATTTTTTTCCCGTATATAATTCTATTCTTCTTTTCTCTTTTACTTTTTTGGATTTTTCTTAGGAGGGAGAGTGGCTCATAAATCATCATATATATTAATAATGCAGGAGAACATGTAACACAATTACCAGCTCTTGTTGCAGCTGCCGCGTTTGTATGACAGTGGCATCTCTCTCCTCCATCAATCGCTGCAAGGTTTGACTCTTCATACAAAGAGAATTTAGTTTAAGAATGAATGGTTATCCTAACTATAGTAACGGGGTATTAAATGCTATAATGTAGGAAATGGTTCCCTATGAAGTAGAAAAACGTTAAAAAAATATTAGTGATTCATTCCCTAATTAACACACTCTTTTAAAAAAAAATTCTTTACCATTAAATGATTTTATATGTATTCCACTAAATTATTTAATTATACTCTCTTTTTTTCAGTTAAATCCATATAAAATTCACGTAATAACTCAAAGTATATATATTAATGAAAATCTATTAAAAAAGTATGTCAAAACTCAAAAGTAATAAAGTAGTAAGATGGCATGTAAAAGATAAAATATTAATCCTTGTTTATATTAGTACTATCATCCTGATCTCAATTAATTTAAAAAAAAAATCATGAAATATAATAAAAATAAAATTATTTCTAAATTAAGAATTATTTATACTCTAAGATGTATTAAAATTTAGGGATACGATATTACAACAACCAATTAAGATTACTACCAATGTTACTACCAATCAATTTTACCATTAGATCGATTATGTTGATCTAACGGTTATATTTATTTCCATATGTGTATGATTATGATTTCTCAAATTTAATACTTTATATTTATTTTCACCTTTGCATGGTTATGATTTCCCATATTTAATGTGAAGTATTAAATATGGGGAATCATAATCATACAAAGATGGAAAAAATATAATCGTTGGATCAACATAATCGATCTAACGGTAAGATTGATTCGTAATAACATTGGTAGTAACCCTAATTGATTGTTACCATATCCTACCTCTAAAATTCAATAATAATTTATAAAATACTTCCTCAGAGTCGGTACTAGACCAAAGCCTAATTTCTTTTCCATTCTCTTGTCATAGGCGAATCTGTACCTTGAGTCATGAACAGAAACATATGGCTAAATACATAAATTAACAAAATTTGAGAGGAAGCATAAAAATAAAACTTCAAACTGATTTCCCCAAAGGGAGGGTGAACGGCAGCACTCACAGAATAGGTATCAAGTTTTTGTGTGGAGTTCTTCTCTGTATCATCTTCTGTGATTTCTTGGGGTGAAGTTGGAGAGATATATACGACACTTAGTTTCAAATCCTCTATTGACTTTCCACTATCCTTATTAAACTGCAAGCCAAAATAAGCAGTGTTCTTGATCAGATTTTTCTTTTCAAATTTTAGAACTAATCCTGTAAAACAAGGACAGTGTTGGCTCTCTTACAGTATCTGGCGGAAGCTCATCAACATCAGTGTTTGGATTTACTATTGTACTCTGTAAGAGAAACTTATCTTTGCGTTGCATGTCTGAAGTAAATTCTTGTTGGGCTTGGAGGGTGACTGTACAATACAAAAACTGAGAATATGATAGATGCTAATACCACAGATGGTAAAGAGTTGAGAAGCTCATAAGCAAATTGCATGCATATATATATGATTGGTTTTTGTAACTTAGTAGTATATTTTTCCTAGTTCATAGTGATGTGGAAGATAAAATTCCATTTCTGTGACCTTTGATTGGTTGAAGTTACCATTTTTTCATATGTATAAGCTCTCTAGTTTAACGAATATATATTTCCTTTTCGTCCTATTAATGCCTAATATGAAACAGCAGTTTCCAATTTATGTCTATTTGATGTGCATTCAGTAATTTGTTGTCATGCATATCTCCTAAAAGGAAAACACAGACCCTTGAGTGAGCTGTCTTTAATAATCCTACATTTCAAATTATCAAAGATCTTAAACAAAGGAATTAGACTTATATATGTTCCTGCAGTAGTAACAAGAAGCACCTCTGATGATACATGAGTCCCATGGATGTACAACACCAGTGTTAGGTCGTACAAAGTACTTCTTAGGTGAAGTGGTTTTCACCTAGCAATATTTAAAATAAGGTAACACTGAAATCAAATGCAATCAGAATGCACTAAAAAAAAGCATATCCAGGAAGAAGAAAAAAAAAAATGTTTGTTCCTGTACGGGGAGTTAGAAGAGTACCTTAAAAGCAACGCAGTGCTGTGTGTTATTCAGAACTTTAAGATCACAAAATGTTTGCTTCTCCAGCTCAACTGATTACATAAAAATTAAGAGCATAGACGAATATGATGAACTCAAGATAGGGGAAGGAATTCAGATTTCTACTTCACATATACAAACAGAGTTGAAAACATCTTTCATTATATTAGAGTATTGTGCTTTTATAAAATAGGGAAAACCAAAATTCACTCTTAAAAAAAGAGAAGTAGAAATACTCGTTCTTCTGCGAGAATTTCTAAATATAACTGCACAAATTAAAACCAAACCAATATAACTGCACAAATTAAAACCAAACCAATTTTTAAGTGGGAAAGGGACCTTGATATTATTGCCAGCAGACATTACTTATTCGAAGGGTAGCCAGGTGTTTTTATATACAACAAGTTTCCCTATTCAAATTTCTGTCATATCTGATATCCTTTTGTCACTATATCCAACCACTTCATTGACTTCAAAATCCTTGTTTTTTGTCAATTTAATTCAAGGACACGATATCCATACAAGTTTCATAAATAATTACCAACAAGTGTGTAAAGAATCAATTCAACCCAAAAACTTAAGCTGTTAGGTGAGACTACATTAATGGTTTTATATATTTCAACACGAGAGCCCACTGAACTTATAGGGTGGATAATGCACAGGCCCATCTACCTATGCGGAGAAAGAAATTCCACTAGAAAGAAAGGCTCATCTACCTATGCGGGGAAAGAAATTCCACTAGAAAGAAAGTGGGAGCGGTGAGGATCGAACCCGGTACGCCGAGGCTCTGATACCATGTAAAGAACCAATTCAACCCAAAAACTTAAGCTGTTGGGTGAGACTACATTAATGATTTTATATATTTCAACAAAAAGTGAAATTATGGAAACATTCAATAAAATGAACGAGCTACTCAACTTCCACCCTTATCCCCATAAGTTTTGGGGAAAACGACCAGTTAATTAATTTATCGTACTCAAACTATAATTAATTTCAACTCACAACCCTGAAGAATATACTCTCCGAAAACTGTAATTTTCCCAAGTAGGACTCAAGAAAAGAAAGATTGTAAATTTTGCATGCAATTCGGTTCCCAAACCATCCTTAGATTCATCGCGAAGCAACCCGTTATTATTATTTTTATTTTTTTTTACATTAAAAAATGATTTGCATGAGAGTAAAAAGAGAGAAAGAGAGGAGCGAAGGGATACATACATTGGAACCTGAGCTCTTGGGGATCAACGGTTATTAACGTATTTGCAACAGAAGCAGTCATGACGAAGAGATCAAACTTTCTACAATCACCAATCAATTAGTTAGCACCAACATGCACAAAACAGTCGCCACGTGAAGCACGCGAGACTGAGAGACAAAAGGGTGCGTGAGTCTGAGTCACAAACAGAGAGAGAGTGAGAGAGGAATGGAATGGCGATTCCAATATGTGGCGGAACGAGTAGCATGGGGTACAAATGTAAATATGCAACAAACAAAAAACAAAAACAAAAACAAACGATTCCAACCTTGTAGCCACCGAGATCGCTTCGTCTAAAAAAAAAACCTCGTAGTCAGAGGAAAGAGACTTGAAGAGAGTGAGTCCCTAATATTAATGCTTCTGTATTCTATCCTGTTCCCTCTCTTCTGTTCTGTGTAGTGTTGAGTTGAGCACCCCAACCCCTCCAATGGATATGGCAGAACTATGAAGAGAAAGAGATTAAAAGAGAAAGAAAAAAAAAATGGTACATTGTTTTCAAAATAAAAAGTGGTACACGTGTCGAATGGAGGTAACATTGACGTCCGGTTCAAAAGTGAGACTTAGATATCTGACTGAAAGTGGGTCCTCATGACGTGTCAATGAAAACCACGTCCTAGTGGGCTAAGTAACTGTTTATAGCCCATTAAGGTAAACTCAACTACCGTTCAAGATTCACGTCTCTGTCTCTTTATCTTTTACTTTCATCTTTTCTTTACGTCTCTGCGTAATCATGGAAAATATTTTGAGTGTTGCGGGAGTACCGTGTATCCATTACATCTGTTATTAAATATGAAAAAAATAATATGATTATATTATTTATGTCCTTATAATTATATTCCTTTTTTTTAAAAAAAAATAAGTACTCCCATAACAAAAAATATGCTCGTAATCATAATAGATAGTGCTAGGTCCTATTAAATAAACCTTTAATTAATTGCTCACTTTTTGATAAATAGTTAACTACACATTTATAATAAAGAATTATCTTTATAAATTTTTTGTTGATAAACTTTTACAAAATATACTATGTTTTTTTAAAGTTACTTTAGATAACTTTATCTAATGTTCATTGAAACGACGTCGTTTTGGGACAGAAATCATGGTGTTTTGTAATTTTAATTTATTTCAGGATATAATAGTCTTTATCATTCTAATTTTTTAATTTTTCAACCTCAAAACGACGTCGTTTTAATGAACATTAGACAAAGTTATATAAAGTAACATCAGAAACTTTTTTCCTTATAATTAATACATAACTACAAACTATTTGAGTATGTACTACCCATAGTATATAATGTAGTTTGTAAATAAAAAATTTATAAATATAACCTATCTCTAATTATAATTATTAGTATATTTTCTAAAAATATCTTTCTTTTATAATTATAATTATATGAGTAATAGTTAAGTGAAAAATACTATTATTATTATTATTATTATTATCCCTCAATATTGTTTTTGGAAAGTTTTAAAGTCTTAATCTTCGAAATCGTCCTAAATTTGACTAGTCACAAAATGATGAATCAATTGAAATATTTCAAAAAAAAGTATATATATATATATATATATATATATATATATATATGATTTTTATTTTTTATTTACAAAAATGTATTAATTACTTTAGCATTAAAACTTTTTAGTATTTAAGATAAAAAAAAAAAAATTGACCAGTCAACCGTCAAAGAAAACCCAGCACCACAACAAATCTGCGTGCAATTGTGCATGCAACAAAAAGATAAAAGCCGGCCACTTTCTTTTAGGTGTGAAGAACTTGGAAAGCAAGCAAGAAACTAATATATTGAAAGAGTCAAATCCTACTTACCAAAAAAAAAAAAAAAGTCAAATCCTCTTCAATATAATTAAATATTTTAATTACTTAAGAAAATAAAATAAAAAACATAAATACGCATCAAAATCCTTACGCCGCTCTTATATTTTATTAGTATAGTAGGTACTATATATTGACCTACTATTTATCATCTTCAGATTAATCCATACAAAATAAATTTATTAAAATAATATAATTAATGTAGTGTGTACATATATATATATATATATATATATATATATATATATATATATATTATTTAAAAGATATTATTTTTTTATTATATTATTATTTAAAAGACATCCGTTAATCATATAACAAATTAAAAATTGAATTAGATGTAAATAATAAAATATCTTATACCTACCATAGGCATTATGCCTAATCTTGTTTAAAGAAATTTGAGCGTTGATCGATAAGGGATGTAAGAAACTTATTTTATTAAATAACTCATTAAAGAAAAAAAGGATTTTTCTATTCCTTTACATATGAAGATCATATTGGATAAATGTGAAAAAGAGCTAATTAAGTAGAAAGAATAATTTTTCTATACATATGAAACCCAAGATTGGATAGTGAGATTTAAAGGTAAGAAGCAAACTTAAGCAACGACACGTGGTACAAAATATCAAAGTACGAGTAGTTACTTGAGAAAGAAAGTATGTAAAGGCATTAATTATCTCACTCTCAAGAATGAGGGAAATGAAATTCATTATATATATGAGGTGAATTTGTTTGGAATAAAAATAAAAAAGGTGTGTCAAAATATGTAACTTTTTATTATTTTAAAATATAAACATAAAAGTAGTATAATTAATTTTATTTTAGTTTTGTAAATGAATGAGGGGCAAGGCCCCAGATAGTATAATTAGTTTTTGTGTGTAAAGGTAACTACTCAAAAAAAAAAAAATCGTTTAATATTTAGAAGTTTCAAAATTTTCCTGGTATAAAATCGTTTAACATTCCATGTAAGAACCATCTATAAAAGGGAGGTTTTACTAAAATTCTATTTTTTTTTTTTCTGTTAATGTACACACATCATCTCTTTTAGCTCTCTGCCTCAATCGTGTACATTAATTTGAAGCTATCCACGTCTCCCTCATAGACATCATCAGTCTCTAAGATCTTACGTCAACCTTTGATCCACCAGGATAGAACAAAATTACTATTGATTTATACTTTAAAATAATTTACTATTGGTTCTTTTTCCATATTCTTTCCTCCAATTATCCTTTATTGTAAAATACACAATTTGTATATTCACTGGACACTAATAAACCTCATTATTAGAAAATGCACAATCAGTGAGGGAAAAATTCCATCGCAAAACAGCAAAATTCCCTGACAAAAATGGTTTGTGAAGGAATTTGTGAGGGAACACGGTGCATCGCTAAAATCCTCCTTGCAAAAATATTTGCGAGAAAAATTTGTCATACACAAAATCTCTCGTCAATTGCCATGGAAATTTTTCCTTGCAAAAAATTAAATTTCCGTCGCGAACAACAGACCTGACTACAATATTTTTCCATCGCGAACAATAGACTGAAGGAAATTGCGACATAATTGCTACCGAACTGCAACGAATTCGGTGACAATGTTGTAGTGACGAAAATTTCTTCTGTTTTCCGTCACAATTGTTAAGCGGTCGCAAATTCTGCCGCAGTTTGTAAGGAAAATTTTTCCCTTGCAAATTTCCGTCGCTGATTGTGCATTTTCTAGTAGTGGGACTCGAAGGAATTGTTGTGTTATGCAATGATTATGCCAAAGTAATTAATCATCAATAATAAAGTTCAATTGCCTGACTCTAATTTTCAAAATTAAGTTTAAAAATGTCATAATCTTAACTCCCAAAAAGGAAACAAATTAAAGTGTTAAAATGATGTAAAAATAAATTTTTATCTCCGGCAGGTCACTACTTCGTTGCACCGTCAATATACTAAAAAAAAAATAAAAATGTGTTGATTCATGTCATGGTTTAAAAAGTTGTGAGAATCATGACTTCTTGCATTATGCTTGGAATAAAAGTCAATTTGCATAATGTATTTTACAAATCTGGCAAGAATTGCTTCGGTCAAAGATTTTGAAAATACTTAAAAGGAGTGTTTACTAGGAGAGTTTTTTTGGATGCCTAGAAAAGTTGAGACGGATTTCATAATTGACTTTTAAAAATTTTATCTATCATTCAAATTTGCATAACAGTTTGTGTGAAATTGAAAATTTTTATTATTTCATAATACCACTTATATGGTGGTATTCTCATTACTCCATCAGTCAAAAAGTAGAAAAAAAAAAGTAATGGACACAAATATCCCTTCTCAAAAAACATGCCAAAAGAAAGTTGGAGAAAGAAAGAGAGTCTTTTTTTTATTTAGTCAGAGTTAGTTTTGTAATTTCATCCTATTTTTCATTAATATTTTATCTTCAACCAAATATAGACTCAGAAAATATAACCCAATTTTTACAGTAATATTTTAGCCTATCAAACAACTTTTTTTTTTAATTTTTCTATCAAACTTACTTTTTCACCATATTTTGAGTAAAAAAATTGCTCCTCTATGTCCCGTAAAATGTGAGTATCCTTCCTTCCACTATAAATTTTATGAACTCCCAAAAAAAATTAAACATAATATTAATAACACTGTCATCCAACTTCGAAATAATGCAAGAGGATTACGCATACCCAATGTGATCCGCCAATCTTCTTATAGTAATGTTTTATCTGGAGCTTGACTTTGTACCCAATGTAATTAGATCAGACAATCTTCTTTTAGGGTACCATCGAACATATAACAATAAATTATTTTTAAGAGTAAAGTATCTTTTGAGCTCTAAACAAATATTACGGGTCCAATTTAATCTTTCAGAAAAAAAGTCTCATTTTGCAATTAAAAATAGACCTATATTAATCATTTCGAGGGATTAACATGAGTTTTCTTTGAATTTCAGAAGCATAACGATTTCGATTAATTAGATCTATTTTAAATTTCTGATGGATCACAAGTCAACTTTTTTTTGAGGGATTAAAATGGGCCCCGAAATTTTTGTTGAGGAATCAAAATAGACTTTATTCTAATTTAATCTTATTATAATGATAGAAGACAAACATAGTTCAACATATAACTCGGCAAAAAAAAATATATTATTATTCAAATAAGAAATTATTAAAACATAATATTTTGGAACCAATTTACGAATCTATAACCACCAGTATTTGGGTGTGACTAGTTGGACCGAAATGGGGCGCGACTGATGCTGGGTCGTGCCTCAGTACAGGCGCGACCAAGCAATGCCCAAATGGTAACACGTGTGGTGCACAAAAGTCAATAATTTGACCGTAAAACTTCATAAGGTCATAACTTTTGACTTGAGTGTGGAAATCAGTTATTTTTTGTATTCTACGTAACTCTTTGAGATCTACGCAATGTCATCTTATTGAAGGGGATTTGGTAAAAAAAAATTCAATTTTTTTTTGAATTTAAAATATTTTACCGTAAAACTTCATAAGACCATAACTTTTGTCTCGAGTATCCGAATCATATTTTTTTTATTCCTCATAACTTTTTGAGATCTACGCAATGACATCTCATTGAAGGAAATTTGGTCAAAAAATTTCAATTTTTTTAATTTGGGATATATTATCATAAACTTTCGAAAAGTTATAACTTTTGACTCAGGTAGTTGAATCGAGTATTTTTTTATTTCACGTAATTGTTTGAGAGCTACGCGTGGCAAATCCTAGTGCTCAAACAAATTTTCTAAAAAACGCTTCTTTGTGCCTCGTTTGGCATATTTTATCTTTGTGAATGATATTATTTAAATTTTTACTTTTCAACACTAACAAATTATCCTCTTCGAATTTGTCAGTGCATAGATCTCAAAAGGTTATAGTGGATCAAAAAAAATACCTGATTTGTACACTCGAGCTAGAAATTATAGTCTTCCAAATTTTTGAGATCAAATTGTTGACTTTTATGTGTCACGTGTCATCACCAGAGCATTGCTTGGTCGCGCCTACAAGGCACGACCTAGCACCAGTCTTGTCCCATTTAGGCATGATCGGTTGTGCCCTGTGGGATGCTATAGATAGGGGTGTGCATGGAGCGGTTCATAACTGATTTTAACAAAAATTGAACCGAATCGGTTTTAAACGGTTTAGTTTTCTAACCGAACCGGTTTTCTTCTTTTAAACCGGTTTTTAATTTTCTAAACCGGTTTATGATTTATAACCGGTTTTGATTTAAAACCGGTTTTAAACCGATTTTAATTCAAATCCGATTTTAAATCAAAACCGGTTATGAACCATAAACCGGTTATCAAGTTCAAAACTAGTTTTTTAACAAATTCAAAATCAATTTTTGATGAATTGTGCTATTTTTATAAGTAGTCGTTTGTTTCTCTCAGTTATAGGTAGTTGACCAACTACTTCTTGCAAGAATCTTCATTGTTTTGGAACTTTCCCGACGAAATGATTGTTTCACGTTGTTTTGAGAGTGATTGGTAGAAGAACAGTCGAATTATTTTAAAATTATATATAAAAAAGTTCTCTTCGTTCTCTTAAATTTATGTTACAAGCGTTTCATTTGAACTGATAGAGGAAGGTATGGGTAGAGGTGTTCAAAACGTCCAAAAGAACTAAACTAATCCATAACCAAATTGCTCCACATTTTAAAAACCGGTTATTTTTAAAAATCGGTTTCATATGAAACTGTATTTTATTTTTATAAATTGGTTATTTACCAAATCATAAAAATAATTGGATATCCATAACCAAACTGTTCTATAATTAAAGAACAAATAAGTAAATCCGTTGTGAGTTGTCTTTTTAACGGCGCTCTCATAGATATTAAGCCAATTGATTAATTTATTTGCCCTTTTTGTTATAATTTTTTAACTTCATCTTTGTCATTTCAAAGTCTTCGCCTTGTCAAGTTATGAGTTTGTCTAGAGGCCTATATGTGGTCTTTTTTTTGGAAAAAACAATTGTTACGTTACATAAGAAGTGTTTTCTTAGGATGCGACCTTTCGTTTTATGTGTAATTTATTTTTTAAATAAATATTTTCTACTTGAGTTGTTTAACTTTTTTTGCTAGTTTATTGTTTGGAAGTTTGAGTCAATTGACTAATATAATAGACATGATAAAAAATAATACTTATTTGTTCTTTAATTGTAGAGCAGTTTGGTTATGAATAATCAATTATTTTTATGGTTTGGTAAATAACCAATTTATAAAATAAAATGTAGTTTTATATGAAACCGGTTTTTAAAATGTGAAGCAGTTTGATTATGGATCGGTTTGATTCTTTTGGATATTTTGAACACTCCTATAGATATATAAATTGATTTCAAAATATTTGTAATTTTTTATTTAAATAATAATATTTTCATTTTTTCCCCGTATAACTTACTATTTCCTACGAACAATGACGTGACTCAGTGTTTAATCACAAAAAACGTTACAGAAATTCTATACACGATACATGAATGAGCTACGCACCAATTCTATTTGTCATTTCAAACGGAAGTGGACTCGTGGAAACATACTTAATTAGATTTTCCTCTTTTTTACCCTATTTTTTAGATTGAAATTTTGTGATTCTGTTCACAGAATAGGTTTTTTTAGTGGATTCTCTATTACAAGCATACAAAGATCCATAAATGATGATAAAAAAGAAAGAGAAAAAAATTATGAGGATAGATAATTATAAAATTATAATTGTTGATTTTTTTTATATGCTTTAGGATTCATTTCCCCTCTTGATGCAAAACACAAATTTTTCATGGATTTAATACTTTTAACAAAATACTTATCAATCTAATATGAATGAAATATGTAAAAAGTGTGTGTATTTAAAGTCTTGCATCATCTCCATATATGACTTGTGCAAAAAAACAGTGCAGTATAAGATGATTATTCCGTCTGCACAAGTTTAGGCGAAAAATAATTAAGCGATCTAGATTCATTTAATTATTTGGTGGTTCCTATCATACGAGGAAATTTTTCTCTCAATTTTATCTCTCTCATTTTTCTTCTTTTCTCATTTGGCCCCCTATTTTGAGAGAATAAGCACCTAAAATTTCATGGACCAGAAGCAGTGCAATTCCTCTCCGTCACGCATGCACTCCATGCATGGTGTACGGAACACAACACATAATCGACATGTTTTGACTTTTATAGAGTCGCGCATGATCTGTGACTAATATACATATTTTTCACCTAGGTTTTACTACGGGTGTGAAAACGGGTTGACACGACACGAATTTGAAACGATACGAATTTGACACGACACAAATACATCAACACGAATACGATACAAATTTTTGTTCGTGTCAAAATCTTCAACACTGACACGACACGAATAACACGCAAAATAGGGGTCAAAACGGTAATTGACAACAAAATTTAAAAAAAATGGTTCAAAATTAAAAAATAAATAAAAAATAAAAATAAAATAATTAAAAAAAATATGGGTCGACGCGAACACGAATACCTCAACACGAACACGACACGAATTTTTTCACGGGTCAACCCGAACACGAATTTTTGTGTCGTGTCGCGGGTCGACCCACGTGTCATAACCTATATTGACATCCCTAGGTTTCACTCACATTAAATTTATAAATAATTTACCTAAAAATTTTAAGAGAAATATTACTTTCCTTTTCACATAAGATAACTTCTCTTATATTCTCTTACTTCCACTTGCGTACCCTTTCTTTTTCTTTATTCTTGTAATGGTGGGACCAAATCCCTTCTTTTTCTATAATATAAGATAATTATCTTACATGAAAGGTGAAAAGAGACTAATAAAGTCCAAAATTTAAACCACTAATATATCTCGGATCTTGTCCAGGAAGTGTAAAAAAGCCCACAAATTATCTGAAAACGAAACAAAAAATAAAGCAACAATGGCCAGGTGTAGCCGCCAAACTAAACGGTGGTGGACGGCCGAGTCATTCCACACCACCCGTCATGAAATCCACGTGGCAGGCTACCAGTTACGTTTTGCTTCTGCCCCCTCTGCTTCTCTCTCCCGCCATTCTCGCTCTCCCTCTTATCTCTCTCTCTCTATGCAACCAATTTGTCTCTCTTTCTTTCCACCCCAAAAAGAAAGCTTTTCTATCTCAGTCTAACATCATCCATTCCCACACTGTGTAATTCCCTCTGCATGTGATCATTGGAACATAACAAAATTGTTTAATTGATTAACGATCGATGTGTCGACATTCTGATACGATGAGGGGAACACCGCCTGGGATTCTGCTAATAAGAGGCAAAGATTGGAACCTCCAAACGTACCGTTACACGGTTTTGTTGGTAACGTTCATAGCCTACGCGTGTTACCACGCTTCAAGAAAAGCCACGGGAATAGTGAAGAGCGTGTTATGCCCCGACCATAACAGAGAAAGTCAGGGTTGGAGCCCCTTCAACGGCCACGATGGAACCTCCAAGTTGGGTGAGATTGACGTTGCGTTCTTGGCGTGTTACTCTCTGGGTATGTACGTTGCAGGGCATTTGGGAGATACATTAGACCTTCGTTTGTTCTTAACCACGGGAATGATAGGGAGTGGAATCTTCGTTGGTCTTTTCGGGATGGGTTACTTCTGGAATGTTCATGAGTTTTGGTTTTATCTCTCGATGCAAATGATTGCAGGGTTGTTTCAAGCAACGGGTTGGCCTTCTGTTGTTGCTGTTATTGGTAACTGGTTTGGGAAGAGGAAGAGGGGACTCATAATGGGTATTTGGAATGCTCACACTTCTGTTGGTAACATTAGTGGTTCTCTTCTTGCTGCTAGTGTTTTGGATTATGGTTGGGGTTGGTCTTTTTTGGTCCCTGGTGCATTGATTATATTTGGTGGGTTTATTGTTTATTTGTTCTTGCCTGCTTATCCAGAGGATGTGGGGTTTTCTTCCATTCATGGTGATGAAGAGGCTCAATTAACCAATGGTGGTGGTGGTGGTGTTTTGGTAGAAGGGGAGACAAATGCTGTTTTTGGACAAGGGTCTGTGAGCAGGAAGAGCATTGGGCTTCTTGAGGCTTGCATGATACCCGGTGTTATACCTTTTGCTTTGTCTCTCTTCTTTGCCAAGCTTGTTGCCTACACGTTTCTGTATTGGTTACCGTATTACTTGACTCAGACAGGTGATGATTCTTATGGAAACTCGCATTATCAAGAAGCATGTATACAAGTTGATGGTGTTGTGTGTTTGTAGCTTTAGATTTGTATTCATGCATGGTCTTTGTTGTGTTCTCAAATTATTTAATGGAGTTGTGTGAACAATTAATGGAAGTTAGGATAATAATTTATTCAGGGATGGTGAAGAGTTCTTATTTCAAGCAAGCCCTTCTTCCCATTTCTAGTTTTTCTTGTGTTCTGCTTTATCTTAGGGAAGTTATCGATCACCCAAGGTTTTGGTTAGTGTTTATTTGTTTTGTGGAACCAAAATCTGAGTGTCCCGAGGGTTTGGTTAGTGTTTATTTGTTTTGTGGAATTAAAATCTGAGTGTCACGTTATTAAGTATATATCAGCAATGGAAGCACATGAATTCAGTGCAGAGTTAGCTTTCATGATATGCCTATCAATCATCACTGTTAGGAGACCTTTCAGTCATGTAGGACTTGGGAACTCTTCATAAATGGTTGCTTCTGTGAATTGTCTCTTAATGTTATCTCTTACAAATTGAAATTATGGATATCATTATATATTGTTGAAAAAATCAAACCAAGTCTGCTGTGCATAATGGGGTTTATATATTATACAACTGCAATTAGACTGGGAAGTGAATATACCTTAGGAGCTAATGGTTTTCCATAAGAAGAACTGTTTCACTTATAAGTGTTGTGTTGAATTAGTTTTTTCTCCTCCTTATTCACCCTGTGATTGTAGGATTGAAGAGCAAAATATAACAGTTGGGTTGGCTTGTGTGACCTCTAAAACATGTTCTATTTGGTTCATTGGTTAAAAATCCTATCAAAATCTCTCTTCTGTTTTTTTCATTTAAACTGAACAAATTTTGTATTTGACAGTGTAGCCAACTCCATGGAAATATAAAATGCATCTGTCATAAATCTTTATCTGCCATATAAATTATCATTTTCATCTTGCAGAAATTGGAGGGAAGTATATCTCTGTTAAATCAGCTGGAAACCTTTCAACCATGTTCGATGTGGGGGGTATTTTTGGGGGTATTCTTGCTGGCTACATATCTGATAAACTCAGGGCGCGTGCTATAACAGCAACAAGCTTCATGTATGCAGCGATTCCTTGTATGCTTTTGTACCGATCATATGGAAGTGTTTCGATGAATGTCAACATAGCACTCATGATGGTGACTGGATTATTCGTTAATGGACCCTATGCACTCATCACTACTGCTGTCTCTGCTGACTTGGGTACACATAGTTCTCTCAAAGGAGATTCTCGTGCTCTAGCTACAGTGACTGCAATTATAGATGGTACTGGATCAGTTGGTGCAGCTCTTGGCCCTCTTCTTACTGGGTTCATCTCAACAAAGGGATGGGATGAAGTTTTCTTTATGCTTACCATTGGGGCTTTTATTGCTGGGCTTCTTCTTTCACGTTTGATCATAGCTGAAATTGCAGAGAAAACTCGCAAACCTTTATCTAGTGGACAGCAAAATCCTGGAGGTAATATCTTTAAATTATCGAATTTGTCAAAAAAGGATGTTAAGAAGTCATATAATCAATTTCGTTATGCTGCTTGCCTTTCTTCCATGAATTTAGTACCTTGCTCATGGAAATGGATCCTCTTGTCTTAAAATTTCACCTCACTTTGTTATGTCAAAATTTTGTATCTATCTCTTTTTTCATAAACATTCAAAAGTTGGGTCTTGTGAACATATACGAAGAAAGAGATTATCATAAAATTTTCACACGAGAAAATCATGTGAAATTTTAACATGATAGATTCATTCTCCTTGCTCATGGAAACATCTATTCCATGGTTAAAGGAATCAAATCATGCATGCGTATCTAGCTATTCTCCTTTGAAGTTGTATGTATAAAGAACCAATTCAACCCAATAACTTAAAGGTGTTAGGTTCTTTGATATGCCCCCTCACACAAGATAGAATGTAATGCAACAAATTCAACTCAACAACTTAAACTGTTAGGTGAAAGTTATACTTCTCTATTAGTATGGCAGCATGCATTTCCTCCTCTTGTGATCGTGATCGTTCCTTTATTTTCTTTTACCAAAATATTAAAGAATTAGCACTCTCATGTTATAATTAAGCTCAGATCTTGAATTTTGAACTTTGAAATTTTCTATCAATCTATCATCCCTTATAATGTTATTGACATACTAGTGATCTTTTGCAGCCCCTGCATCTCAACCGCTTCTAGATGAGGAAAGGTGACACTGATCAGGATCTCATGAATGGTCAAATATACTGCTCAATACTTGGGTTGTAATATGAGAAAGTTGTAAGATTTTGTTAGTGGCTCTACTCTAGCTTGCAACAGCCACTTCATTGTTTAGTTTATGTGATGATGATATATGCCTCCTACTCATGAGTAAATCAACAAGTAGATTACATCCTTTCATTCAGCTCTCCAATCATTTGTTGTATACAAGGTTCCAAAGGCGATCATGACTCAGGTTCACTATTGAGAATGGAACTTCATTCCTTTTCACCGTGAATTGTCTTCCTGCTGTGGTGGCTGTCTGCTTTTACTGACTTTCTTGTGTCACACTCACATTTCAAGGAGGCTCCGTTTTCAATTCTTCTACAGCAGATTAGGATATACAGCTAAGTTTCTGTCTTGATCACAACCCAAATCCTCACCGACCATTTCAAATCTTGTTATCATGAGATTTTGAAGAAAAAGGTTGGTCAATTCCACTTGTATATGCAAATAAATAATTAGATTTCCATACATATATACTAATTATGATAAGTGTACTTAGTTTTGTTTGTGAATCCTACTTAACATATGAGTAGCGGTTAGAAAGTCATTTTAATAAATAGGTAAACTACCTTTTTGAATCATGTCCTTTATGTAAAGGTATGTACTCAATTGATAAAGTCCTTTGCAAGTGAATGGAAGGAAATAGGTGAACTACTTTTATGAATCATGTCCTTTATTTAAAGGTATGTACTCAATTGATAAAGTCCTTAGCAAGTGAATGGAAGACTTTGGATTAAATTTTGCCTTCATTCCTCTCTCTCTATATCTCTTCAGTATAGTGTGTATCCTCTGGGAAGTGTTTTTGGATGGAGCAAGTGAGTTATTTATTTATTGAAATTTAAAGGTTTCAGTATAACTATCTAAAAACAATGTGTGTGTGTGTATGCCCGCTCACATTTTACTGTTCGTGAATAAATGGTCATTGACGAGGACACTCCTAGCGATGTAATCGTAGCAATGAGTATTCAATGCGACGCTATTATAACTATGTACTTTTGAAAATACATAGTTATAATATTAAAGTTATTTTTTTTTTCACATCAACAGATAAGTTTCTAAAGAGAGAGAACAAAAAAAAATAATTTTAATATTATAATTATGTATTTTTCAGAGTACACAATTATCTTAATACTATCTATAGACTAATCCGAAGTACATAACAGAGGAAAGGAAGTGGATTGGCACGTTTACTTGTGAAACATATCTAAATAGATTTTTCTTTCCCTCTTTATTGACAAACAAAAACCGAGAGGGGAAAAAGAAAAAAAGATGATTTCTTAACACGATGGCTTAATTTTGTTTTTATTTCTCTGGATTACAAGTTACTCTTTTTTTTTTTTTTTTTTTGATAACATTACAAGTTACTCTTTTAAGACCTCGAATAACAAATCAATTAAAACAAAACAAAAATAACCTATAATTCAAAGTCAAAGCATTTATTAGTTTTGAAGTTAGTATTAATATATTATTAGAAATAAAAGCATCTTGTATTGGGTGGTTGTAGAAAGTGAAAAATGTTTTGTACACAGTAAATTTCAAATAAAATAAAAGGTTTAAAGAACAAATAAGAAACAGAAAAAGCTTGGTGATCCTTGCAAGCTGTGCTATATAACTTTGTTTTTACTTTGAAAGGATCCATGGATCCTCGAATGCCTCGCAGCTTGTATCGGTATTCCTCTCCTCCACTCGTCCCATGATAACGAGCCACTTAATATTCATGCCACATTCAATAGAAACACAACGATTGATGAGGGTAGCTTTATCATTTTGAAGATATAGAAGAACAAATGGATAAAAGAATTTTGCAATTTGTTCCCCACTTTTCTTCAACTTTTCCCTTTATTATTCCTTTGTTATATTATCCTTATCACTGACATTGTTCTTTTCTGGAAAATGCAATACTTTTAAAATAAATAAAGAAATAATTATAAAGTTAAAAACGCCCATGCATTCATGTGAGTCTATTAATGTTGCTAGGACCTTGCAAAATGTGCTTGCATCTTCTTATGTTTGGAGTGAAAAAAGACATAAAAATAAATTTAATGATATTTCCTATATAAATAATAATTAAGTATCATTATAATTATTTTTTCTGTCTTTCACATTTATAACATAGAAGAGTAGGAGGAACATATTTAGTTTTTGGAAATTATTAAATTATGATTTCTGTTGAAAAGTTTGCCCAAACTGAGACTCAAAATATAAACTAAGCGTGCATTTAAGCTAGTTGAGGCGGGTAAAGAGGAAATCAAAATAATGGGGGAAAAAGCGACATAACGAGCATGGGGTCTCTGCGTCCAAAGACTCAACCCAGCACGTGATACGAATTATGATGAGTCCATTACTTTCAGTACTCAGTACTCAGCATATCAAGTGAAATAGCACTGGAAAATACTATTTGTATTTTTTGTAGTTAGAATACTATTTGTGTTTAGTACGTATATAATGACAGTTACAATTCTAGCACGCCACAATTGAAAATTATGGTGAGGGGCGGGTTCCTTTGCCGATCTTTATCGCTTTCATAAAGTGCCTTTTTTCACAGCAGAGACATGCACTTTCTATGCAATTACCTAAAGCTTGCATGCGCTGGGCCTGGGAGGGTAAGTGGGTAACCCTTCAACTACGCTCATCTTATATTCATTTTTTTTTAACTCAACTTTGCATATTAGATGAAACAATTTATCTTATACTATATACAAAAAAAAGTGAGTGAAATTTACTTGTTTTTTTTTTTCTCTTTCTTCTTCTTGACAAGTATTATTCATTTTTTTGTGTATTGCATGAAATAATTTATGTCATGCAATATCAGAAATTATATCCTCATTAATAAAATATGGAAAAATTGTGAAATATAGTCCAAAAACATTAACAACTAATTACAGAATTTATCAAGGGATATGTCATTCTATCTACTTTTTTTTTAATATACTTTGCCAATAATTCTAAAAGATCATTAGATCAGAATCTTAATTAATATTTATTTTTCTTTTTCCTCTTTAAATTCTGATCTAATAGTATTGGAGAGTGACAGGCAAAAGATATGCAGAAAAATGATAAGTAAAATAACCTATTCTATTCGTCAAATGATGTTGGAAATATATAGAATAACATGGCCATATATCATATATCAGTTACATGATAAAGTACTTAAGGAATGGAAGTTTAAAACATTTCAGCCACCTTCTCAACAAAAATGTTTAATTTTTAAACAGATATCGAGGCTAATATTAACTTTTTTTATAATTTTTTTTTTTGATTTCTTAAGGTATCCTTCCAACAAATTTCTCCCAATAAAGCCTTTTTTTTATATACACAGCTAGAGATTTCGAACCTCTATCAATATAATTAAAGAATCTAACTATTTAGCAACTATACTGATATTGAACTTTGTTAGTTGGTACATTTTTTATACATTAAAATCTATTGGTGTTCTACATGACCCTATGATCTCCACCATTCAGTTTTCTTACACTCATTCTTTAGTAGAACGGGGCGAAACATAATAAATAAATTTTGTTTAAAAAAAAAATACATTTTTAATTTCACTAAAAAATAAAACTAAAGAATAATTCCATTCTTTACACGTGAGAAAGGCTACACCGCTACATTAATAGGCGTCAACCTCGCCCTTAACTTCATGGGGTATTCGTGTATTTTAGTGTCTCACCGAAACGGAGATTGATTCTTTTTCACTTTTCCTTTTTCCTGCTATATATCAATCTCAAACCTCATTCCCCTGTTCGTCTTCACAACCACTCCTTCTTCTTTCTGTGTCACCCAAGTTTCCTCTCTTATAGAGCCATGGCGCTTACACGTGCCATGCTCGTGCTAGCCATGTCCTTTGCTTTCGTGTCAATGTCCAAAGGTCAAGCTCCCTCTCCTGCACCAACAGCCACAGATTTAACACCACCACCAAGTGCACAAGTGGTGGCTCCCACCACTTCTCCGGTTGCACCGTCGCCAAGTGCCGAAACTCCAACCCCATCTGCCATCTCATCACCACCTTCGCCCTCTGCACCATCATCATCATCATCACCATCACCATCATTCATCGTTCATGGTGGCCCAACTTCTCCCTCGCCGTTATCACCGTCCATTGGAGAACCTCCCGTGGCCTCAAGTCCAAGCAACGCGTTTGTTCATGGAACCAGCTTCGCCATGATGGTAGCATTGTTTGGTGGTGCTGCACTTGTGCTTATTGCTTAAACTCATAGAGGGTTCACTGTTTGTGTTTGAATAGAATGAGTAATATTTATTTGTGTAGCTTTTTCTCCTTTTTTATCTCCTCTCCAGTGTTTTGTTTTCGTGCATGATTCTTGGGGAGCTTTATTATATAGTGGTTTGTGACATTTTTAGCATTTTGTTGCTGACAGTGACTGAATAATAATACAGATTTGGTGATTTCTATTTTTGCATTGTGGCGTTCGATTTAACAGACCAGAGAAGCTACTTGTATTGTATCCTATGACGTCTATACAAAAAAGAAAACAAATAACACGACAAGCACATGGATCAACGGATAAGAGACTGATGCAACTTAACTAATTATCTCATATTCGAGTTGTTGAAATGTTGTTGTGTTAGAATTTAGTACTAAGAGCCCGTATGCTGTTATTCGATTCGAATTGGATTAATCGATTAATTAATGAATAAATGGATAATACATAAAAAAAACAAATAACTTATTAATCGCCTATTCTTTGGAGTTTATAGCCCTAGTTGATATGACAAATCAAATTATTAGTGCGGAGTGCCACTTAAATCTATTACAGAGTACAGACAGTGTTCACAAGTAATATAAATTATAGCATATTTATTTTTGTTTATTAGAAGTCTAGTAGTGTGGCTATATATTACTTTTGTATATATAAAAGTAGGGAAAAGAAGTATCATTTAAAAGGATACAAGTTGTGTCCTTTCAGATGATTTACACAAAGTATGACCGGTCATATTTTGTGTAAATCTGAAAAGTTTTTTTTTTTTTTACTCAGTCACATTGTTGACGTGTAAAATGAAAAAAAGTAACTTTTCATAATTACACATAGTATGATCAGTCATACTCTGTGTAAGTTACTAAAAGGACACAACTTGTGTCCTTTTAAACGAGATACACTAAACTCATAAAAGTAACAGTGGGTTCAACTAACGCACTTAAATCGGCTATAAGCCTATAACTGTATAGTTTATTGCTTTGAAGTTTGGAAGGTGAATAGATTTCTTGCTTTCATGGTGGGTGCTGAATGAGGTAGGTAGGCATTGATGAACAGTTGCAAGTGGTATAAAGCTACGAAGAAACTCTCCGACACTTCGACACTCTCTAACACTCCAACACGCATTGTAGAAACTTAAAAAATAGTTCAAATGTTGCATTACGTTGTGTTTTTAGTTCTAACTAATAGATTCGTTGAATTACGAATATAATTTTATTGAGTTTAATATAAATATTTGTGATATCTTATGTTTCTTTGCAAAATTGATGGATATTATAAGTTTAGTTTTACTTTTTTGTTAAATTATTGAATATTAAATATAATAACACTACATAAATAAAAAATATTATTTAATATCACAACGTGTCTTAACGTGTCAAAATCTAACAATTTTTAGAAGTAACGTGTCAGAATATCGTATCGTGTTGTGTCACGTATCCCGTCGATATTGATGATAGATAAGTATAAAGTATAAACTATGGGGTTAATATGGCGGTGCTGTGGAAAAGAGAAAAAGGATAAAGTAGATGGGAGGACTAGTGGTGAGAGAATAAGAAGAGGATGGCATATGTGGGGCTTTCTTGTGGCAAATCAACGTGCACGAGTAGAAAGTGATGGGCATTTGTAACCAAAAGAAAAAGTGATGTCCACATGTGTCTCTCTTAGCCAAACGATTCTACAAAGAGAGAGACAGAGATTAGATTAAAACCTAACGAGTACAAATATTCCAGTTCCAGCATATTATTACAGAACCGAGTGTTCTCAACATCATAATTCCTCCTTTTGAGAAGTGATGGGCTTTTTTATATTTTCTAACTTGGAGTAAAGTCATTTCTTTGTCTATCTGTCCCTTTATCTCCCAATTATATTTTGGCAGCATATTACCAAAAGAACCTAGTGTATCCTTTCAATTGAATGAAACTAGAAGGGTATACGGATAAATAAACAACACCTTTAGTATACCGGGCACTGGTAGAGTCGTAATCTTTGTAACCTCGTGGAAATTCTCACATACTGGAATGGTGGCCCAACCTGTGTCTGTGCCATTGGATCAAAGCCTAGTATTAAAGCCCACATGACATTCTGTTTATGCCTGAAATTAGATTGTCTGTGCTTTATGCTGTGGATTCTTTGGGCTTTTCTGCCACACATTATTGACTAAAAAAATCCTATTATTGCAAGCTAAATCATTCAGTTTTTTTTTTTTTTTAAATTATTAAGGATACAATAACTTGTTTTCCATTTTGAGTTTTGACTAAAAGGGAGTCATATTTATATTAGTTAAGAAAATACATTGCTTTACATTCAGTTCAGGAATCAGAATTTACATCACAATTTCTAATCCTACAGCTCTAGCCATAAGCCCATAAGGATGGGACATATTAAGTTCATCTGGCTCTCTATCAGGTAAGTTCGGGAGCACAAAAAGGAGATGTGCATTTTGAACTGCAACATTACCCACCAAGTATGTCACTCCATAAACTAAAATAAACAGGAAAACTCTCCATAATGTACAAGGAATCATGGGGATAATGAATAATAGCACAGCAGAGGCCTGTTTAGGTGTCTATACAATATTTGGTAATTCCACTAATCTAAATTGTTTCAATTGTTTGCTAGGAATCGTAATTAGGTAGTAGTTAGTACTGTTATATAAGAGTGTTTATCAACACCTCAACAGGTTTTAACATATTATTGCATTTTGCATGGCGAGCCAACGATGATCGAGGACTCTGAATTTTAAAAACCATTTTGCTTGGGGAGCCAACCATCCTCCCAAATATGCATCGAGGAACCATTCCATATAATCTGAGACACACTTGATCTCCATGTAACTTGATAAATGACCAAGATTTGCCTTGAGGAAAGATGATATAGAGAAATATCATCACCCTTCTCATAAGAGATTCAGGGCATTTTAACATTCTCCGCCATTGCTTGGTCAAAATTGCCTTAGGTTCAAACATTTATAAATTGTAAAAAATCAATTCAATCTAACAATTTAAATTATTATTGGAAATTTAAATATGAATAATAAAATTTCACATTTATTATAAATGAATAAGTGAAGATCATATATAACTTCTATAAATCTAACATTTTAATTTCTTTTTTTTTTGAGATATGATATTATGCTCATTTATTATAATTAATTGCCACTTAGCCTATATATAAAACTAATACATTGGTTATGTTATAGGAAAAAAAAAATTCCTAAGGAGACAATGCAAAGCATGGGTCCCACAATATAAAGAGAGAAAAAAAGTAATGGACCCCACATTGTTTATTGTCTCCGCGGGGAAAAGTTGTTGTTTCCTGTGACATAACCGATGCATTACTCATATATAAAATATATATCTAAATAATTTAAAATAAAAATTATATCGGTATTTAATGAAAGTATAAAAATAAATAACTATCATTATTTTCGTGTATGAATATTTATATTTTGGTTATTTTTTTGTAATAATATTTTGGTTATTTACTTTGTGCTATATATCGGTTATGAAGTTTTGAATATTTACATAATTTGATTGTTCGATTTGTTTGTTGTCGGTAACGTGCAATATTTTTTCTTTATTCACATTGGAATAAATGATTGACGAAAATTGAAGAATAAATTACTGATAAAACTATTTATTTTGAGTAGGGACCGCGGTTTGTGGTCTCTTCTCATTCACAGACAGACATATTGGGAGTTTGAAATAAATATGATTGCAAAATGGGTGGTGTGTGTAAATTTATTCCCTTTTAGTTTTTATAAGTTATAACTATGTGTAAACAACTTCTTCTTTCACAGGAGAAGCTTTCTTTTTCCAGCTAAAACAATTTTTTTGGTGGGATCTATTCGTTATTTTGAAAAAAAAAACAAAAAACAAAATACATATCACATATTTCAATGCTTATGGGATGTTAGCGTTGCATCAAAAAAACTTTTCCAAAAGAAGTTGTTTACCCATTAATCATATATTTTATGAAATATATAGTTATAATATAAAAGTTATTTTTTTTCTTTTTACATCAGCTGATAATTTTTTTTTTTAAAAAAAAACATAACTTTAATATTATAATTGTATATTCATCAAAGCACATATTCATAAGAGGTAAAAGTACGTAAAGGAATAGTGACCAAAATGTCACTGTTCACTGACTTTTTTACCTAAATGTCACGCGAACAATGTTATTTTCCAATATGCCACGTAGGTAAGTTCGCTACAGTGCCCAACAAACTTGGTAGCCAATAATTTCATTACACATGGCACATTTTCGCAGGAAAAGTTGACTGCCACGTGTCCAAGTTCGCTACCTTGGTAACCTATAATTTCGTGACACGTGGCACACTTTTGCAGGAAAAGCTGACTAGACGAAGTTGTTGGAATTTATATATATATATATATATATATATATATATATATATATATATATATATATGAATTGTATAGACAATCTATTGGTTATGAATAAGAAGTTTGGTAGTGAAAATGTGTGTCTTTTCGTCGACAAACAGATGTATCTTTTCATCCTAAACGATGTGTTGTTTCATCCTAACGGACATGTTGTTTCATCCTTGAATGGGTGTCTTTTCGTGTTGAACGAATGTGTCTTTTCATGTCGAACGAATGTGTCTTTTCGTGTCCAACGAATGTGTTGTTTCGTCGTCGAATAGGTGCCTTTTGGAACGTGACTTTACGTTGTCTATAAATAGACACTGACACCTTCAGAAAATGGATCCAATTTTTCTGCACTGAAACTCTGCCGGAATTTTTCTCCTTCCGGTTTTGCATGTTCCTTTTCATACTCCGGTGTAGTTTCCTCTGGCATTTTGTTGTGTTCGTTTGGGCTGTTGACTGGTAGTGCCGCCACTCTTCAGACGAAATCCGTTCTATCCTGGGAGACAAGTGTCCATCTACCTTAGGTATCAGCGAGGGGGCAAATTGTCTTAAGGAGACACGTTCTGTGGGCTCGGATTTTATCCTTCTGATTTTGCATATCTGA